CCTTTGAGTGCATGTTATACAGACTGCTAGACTCGGAGAGAACCGCAATGTCACCAGGCCAAATGAATGGAAGTGGTGGGATCCTTGGGGCATCACAACGAGGTTAGTGGAGCAGGTCAGTCTAGCTCTGTGTGGAAACCCCAGGAAACATCTCTGGCTCCAAGCCAGGCCCTTGGCAGCCTCCTGGCTGAGGGAAAGGCCCCTCCAGCTCCCTCATGGGCCAGCTAAGGATTCATTCCCTTCCTTTAGAGGAACCGTGGGATGGGGTAATGGAGAGGCAGAGCAGCCAGGTCACTTCCCCTCTCCCAGCTCTGGGCATGGAGGAACGTCAGTGGGGAGAGGCTGGAGTACCACACCGCAGGCTCACAAACCAGCCAGGAAACGTTCCTCAGAGCAGCTCTGAGGCCGCCTGAAGCTGCTCTGGCGAGTGATTTGGTAACCAGCCATCCCTGGGACGGGCGTACCAAACAGGTGGCACATTTATCTTCATCTCCTCTTCCCGGCGGGTGTCTTAAGCACAGTTTAACTGAATCAGGACAGTGACTTCAGCGGAGTTATTTTTGGTTCAGTTGGCCAATGCAAAAGAGGCAACTGAAATCCTGCCTGTTAAAACAAAAATTATCACAGAGCCTCTCAGGAATTTGAAAACAGAAAGCTTGGACCATGCCAGAGAAGCTATAGGGTTTGCTTTTGCCTTATGTAAACCAGTTGTATGCTGATTTGACATCACCAGCTGAAGAACGATGACCGCTGAGTTCATATCAGGTGGAAATAAGACACCTGCACACCATAACCAGGAGCATGTTAAAGGCATKCACACTTAAAACAGCTTGCATTTTACACAGTCAACTTTCCACCGTCTTTCTGGTTTTGTTACATAACTAACCGCTGGCTTAAGAGTCAGTATCCTTCCTTAGGAAAGCACAGCTTTGCAAAACTGAAAGAGACTCCAAGGACTTTGTGGGGCAACTTCTGACAGATTAGGAAAGTAAACAGAAGAAATACACAGATCCTGGCAATATCAGAAAAAAAAAATGTGCTCTGGCTTACTGAGATTTGTTTGCGACGACCTGGCTGTGCAGGACCGTGTGGGAATGGGGCAGCGTTACTGTCATGTTTTGTATCTAAATTTCCCACCACACGGAGCATTTTGGCAGACCACCCTAGTGCAAACTGCAGCCCGAGCTGAGAGATTAGCAGATCTAATCCCCTTCCAGAGGGACTTGAGATAACACGTTCAGATAAGATGTTGAAGACCATGGTTACCTGTACTGATATTGCTTTCACCTCCTACTCTAGGATCCTTAAAAATATTCAGCTCCTTCAGAAACAGAATTTGACCCATCACCAAAGGCTGCCTGAATCTTACTGCTTACAACTGCTGTATAAGCAATTTTCATATCTAGCAAGATTAAGTTAATAATATTCATGTTTTTCCAAACATTAATTTATCTCTTCTGAATCTCTAAAGCTTGTATGTGATGGATAATGGCTGACTATATGTTTTAACAATTTAAGGTACTTTTCTAAGGCCTAGTCACTTACAGGGGAGGGGACAACTACAGCAGGAAGAACCACAGGTATTTTAATTTCAATGTATATGATGGAAGACATTATATATGTACATATTACCTCATATTGCATGCACGTATTTGGAATTTAAATCATCAGTTGCTTAATTCAACCTATGATGATTTTCTATATTATGGGTTATTCATTTAACTTCTTCAGACAATGTTTCCTAGGAAGTCAAATCCAATAAATCCATCTCTAAATTTTGAAAAATTATTTTCTATCAACAATATAAAGAACTTGCAAACAAAGTCCCCCTTCTACTGCTCTTTTCACTGTACTGACTGCTGACATGCAATATATGCTTGCATACATTTGGAGTTTTTAAATGTTGGAATTTTAATTTGTTTCACTTGCATCTCCTCTCCTTTTGGATAATTTTTTTCATGTACAAATGACAGCAAGTGATTTTGCAGTTTTGTGACAAACCCAACTTTAGGTTAGGCTGCAATATGCACTTGAAGAAAAACAGGGAAAAGAGCTTAGAATTATTTACAAAATACTTTAATTAGAAGAAGTCCTTTGCTTGTGCAGACAGACCTTCTTATGTACTGTGAATCAATACACTTCTGTCTACTTGTTGACACTACAGTCAGGAAGACTCGAAGCAGCATCACTAGTTTATTCTGTTAGATGCCAAGATGCAATTATTTACATAAAAAAGCTATTAAGCAAGTTGTCCAACACAAACATGTGCTCATGGCATGGAAACATAAAAATGTAGTCCTGATTCTAACCTCTTCAAGAATTCAGACTTTTAAAGATTGAAACTGTATCAGAATCTGTAGATAAATAATTACATGAGGCATTGTAACACATCCTGCCCAAAAAGAGTGAAAAATAACGTAGCTACTTTCATTTGGATAGTTAGGATTTAAGAAAAAMCACTGCCATGAATGGACTTTAGAGCCATTTGCTAGAGGTACATCTAAACAGCAAATTTGGWCTTTGCTGTAAAAACTCTCTCAAATTCCCAAAAATCAGTGTTAAAAGGAATGCACAGATTTAAATGAATAGTAGTTATAAGCAAAACAAAATGAAATTAAAAGCTGCATATGGTTTGTCATCATCAGTAAAATCCATTACTTTATGCAGATTAATTGCGTGGCTGGATATAAAACTGGAAATGTTTATGACCAAGTGTTATTTGAACTTCCCCTGAACAAGATAAGGATAATCTTGTTCTACTTTCCCAACCATAAACTGATCCACCCCGTTTTCCACCCACTCAGATTTCTCCCCATGCAGGGTATTTGGAGCAGATTCAGGGCCAGACCATGAAGTTAATTGGACATCAGGTCCTGCAGAACATAACCCTGAGAAAGAACAACCTACACCTAATCCCTTGAACACAGATCTGAAATTTATTGCCCTCCAAAACATTCCTAGGTCAGAAGATGTAGGTGCCTCCAGATCCTGGATCCCTTCCCTGAAGATAAAGTAATGGAATTCAGTGCTCGCTCCTAAAATGTGTCTTGAGGAGGAAAAGGAGATATCTGATAGTCTTATCTGATAATGGAGCGGTTAAAGCACTCAGAGAAGAGGGGAGGCCAGGCTTGGTGTCTTCCTTTGCCTAACGGGATGCAATCCTACAGCTCCCACTTCTCAGGAGTGCAGGAGGCAACCGCTTCCAAAGGGCATGGGGATGAGGAGAGGGAGGACTTCATTCCTGGAGCTGAGCAATGTGAAAAAAGGAAGGGGTCTCAAGGAGGCATAAGAAAGAGTAGAACTTGTTGCTTCTTCCTCCTCTAGCAGGCATGATTTAAAAACTGGGTTGGCATTACCACATTTCACAAGTGCTTGGTGATGATTTTATCTTTCATTTGGAAGTTACTTATGCCAAGAAAGATGAGGGAGTACATTTGAAGAGGTGTGATGAACGTACACCTTTCTTTACCTGTATGTACCCAAAATTTTAAAAAACATTTTTCACTAGTGGAGCTTACATATGTGTGCACTGTTGAATGCTGATTAAAAAAAAAGGGAAAAAGTGGACAAAAGTGGAGAAGAAACATTCTGAGTATTTTGAATGTGGAACCTATGGTAGAGCATAAAGAAGATAAAGGAAATTGCTAACTTGCCCCCAAATTACACTATGTTGGCAACTTCCACAGGTTTTGGTATTTTATGCTTTTTTTTTTTATCCTGAAAACTTCATCTGCTCCACAGGTAAGAACTAAAGCATGGCTTTGTCTGCTTGAAGTAGGCTTCTAAAACGAGAAGGAAAAAAAAAAAAAAAAAGAAAAACCCAAGAATGAACACTCCTATCTGAGGCCTCAAATATCTGTAACCAGAAGGTAAATAACAACCTTTTGCAAACTGATGTTAGGAAATAAGGCCGTCAGTCTGGCTGGGCCGTACTCAGGGTTTATGAATGAGCACTTTCACAAGGCAGCTGGAGCACTAGACCACCCCCTAAAGCCAAATCCCCCCGGGCTGCTACTGCCCCCCGTGTCTGGGGAGCAGGGCAGACACGGTGGCTCGTGCAGACYGACACACGCAGGGTGCGTGTGGAGTGTGGGTCCTGGGTGACAGGGAGACAGGCACACCTTGGTCACTTGGCAGCAGCCCCTGGTCCCTCAGTCAGTCCCCTGGACAGTCGGTCTGTCAGGGAGACCCCTGGTCAGTCAATGAACCCACCTGCCAGTCAGTCAGTGCCCGTCCTGTCAGCCAGTCCCGCTACTCAAACAGTCAGTGTGTCAGTCAGCCAGTGAGACCCCCATCAGCCAGCCCATCAGTCAGACCCCCAGTCAGTCACTGAGACCCCCTGTCAATCAGTCCATCAGCTAGCCCAGCAGCGAGCCCCACTGCCAGTCGGTCAGTCAGTCAGTGCATCATTCCACCTGCTAGTCAGCCCATCAGTCAGTCAGCCCATCAGTCAGTCAGTCCCCTAGTCAGTCAACCAGCCCCTGTCCGTCAGCCCATCAGTCAGTTACCACCCCAGCCAGTCAGCCCCCCAGTCCGCCTGTGCGTCAGTCTGCAGCGAGCCGCACAGTCAGTCGGTCAGTCAGACGACCAACGAGCCCCACAGCCGGTTAGCCTGTCAGTTACCCCCCGTCCCCGTGCGTCAGGCAGCCCCAGTCCGTCAGGCAGCCCCCGTCAGTCGGTCCGTCAGTCAGTCCCTCTGTCCGTCAGTCGGTCCGTGGGTCCCGCTCGCTCCGTGCGCCCGGCGCCGCCCGCCCCGTCGCGCAGTCCGCGCGGCCGCTGCCGCCGCCCGGTGCCGGTGCCGGTACCGGGGCGGGCCGGGGCGGGTCGGCGGCCCCGCGGGGACTCCGGGGCGGGGCGGCCGCCCGGTTCGGGCCGGGCTGGGCAGGGGCGGCGCGTTCGCTCGCTCGCTCCCCCGCACCTGCTCTCTCCTCCTCCTCCTCCTCCGCCTCCACCTGGCCGCGCTCGGCGGCGGCGGCAGCACCGGCAGCACCAGCAGCACCATGTTGCCCAGAGGGGGCTCGTCCATGCCGCCGCCCCCCAACCCCGCCGCCTACTTCCCGCCGCCGCGGGTCACGCTGCCCTCCGGCCTGGACATCCTGCGCACCTACTCGGGCGCCTTCATCTCGCTGGAGATCGTGAGTGAGCGGCGGCCGCCGGGGGGCGCCGTCCCGCGGGGCAGCGCGGGCTGCCATCTTGGGAGCGCGGGAGCCCTTCCCGGGGGCACGGGGCAGCCGGGAAGGGAGCCCCGGGAAGCGGCTGCGGGAGCCTRCGGGACCCCATGGGAGCCGGCCCTGCGGCTGTGTGGGCTGCTGCGAGGCGGCGGGAGCAGCGGCACCTGCGCGGGGAGGCGCCGCGTCCAGCCCCGGCGCCGGGTGCCTCGGGGCTGGAAGGGCAGCGCTCGCTCCGGAACTGCAGCTCTGCAGGGCTGGGAAGGGGTAGCCGCTTTGGAATTAATCCTGGCTGTTGTGTCCCAGCAGCCTGGACCATCGCGGCAATTTTGTGTAATAAGTGAGCTTGTTGCAAATGGAAATTACCTCTTTTTCCCCCCGCAAACGCCATTATGTGTAAAAAAAGACAGGATTTGCAGGTAGATCATGCCCTTTGTTAGACCAGGGCTTAATTTAAATAAGCTACATAAGGGCATGTAAATGATCCTTCAGCCCACTGAGATCCATATGCTGCAAACAAAGTTTGTGGGGCTGAGTTTTTCCCCAAGTTGCAAGAACTCTGAAAAACTCAGTGCTTTTCTAGTCATTGCCACAGGATTTACAGCTCAACTTATTCTAGTCTTCYGTTGCACTTCATGTGTTCCCTTCCAGCACTTTATTCCAAATGCATTGAAAAACAGGATGCAACAGAATAAATAATAAATTAAAAAATCTGTATCTTATTTGATTAGGACTGAACAGCATAAGTTTGAATCCACATCTCACGTGCATTGTTGTCATGCTAGTTTTCGGGTATATGTTGACAGTATACATGGRTATTACATATGTCGTGGAATGTGTGTGTCAACAATGTTTTCCCATTTCCTGTATTCCCTTCAAATGGAGCCTAAGGGTAAAATTTKCAGGAGTAGCATATGAGCAAGCTGGGTTTGTAAATCCCATTTTCAAGGGTCATTTAAAAGCTTTTAAGAATTTAGCAGGGCTTCCTTTTAACGTCARCGTAGTGCCTCTCGCTTCTGAGAATGGCACTTAGGCTCCTCGAGTGCTTTTGAAGTGCTTCCTCTTTGCTCCAAAAGTAACCCGAGGACTTGTTGATGTTAAAGGCTGGTTCTCAGGCRGAGGGGACAGAGTACAGGTTCTCTCCCAACCCGTGTTGCTTTCCTTGCAGCTCTTCGGAACGGTGGTCTGGATTCTGGTGTCCGCCACGCAGGTGCCACTGCCGCTGCTGCAGGGATGGGTGATGTTCGTGGCCGTGACCGCGTGGTTCCTCTCCGTCACCTTCCTCTGCGTCTTCCTCTTCAGCTACGCAAACAGGATTGCCATCAACTGGAACCAGGCAGTAAGAGTCTGTTCTAAGGATTCCGTTTCCTTCATAAATAGGAAATCACTTAATGAGAAGTACTTATAGCTGTAATCCTTGGCCTGTGATTTTAACAGAAAAACAATGCTCAAAACAGAGGAATTCAGACTGAAGAAGACAGAGCAGAGCAACACGGATATTTGAGTGTGAATGAAGGTGCAAACTTGTCTTCTACAGACACGTAGAAGACATGAGCACCAGGAAGAGGACTAGTTTAACAAGGCATGACAACAGATTGGTTTAAATTGGCCAGAAATAATTGCAGACTGGAAATTAAGAAATATTTCTTAACTATTAGAGTAGTGGTGGTAACACCCTGTGAATAATGAGAAATAGGAAGATCCTTCTGATATTGTGAGTGAAGTGCTACATTTGTGAGYACGCTGTGCTGTGTGGTTCTCTGAGATTAGCACTAAGCTCAAGGACCAAGGAAGTCTCTTGGGGAGCTGTGCTCCTGTGAAAGCCTTCAGCTGCTTTTTAGGATAATTCCTTTGGTAGCACAGTGTTGATGTGTGATAGAGACAGTGTGACCCGCAATGCAGCGTAACTTAATATCTTTTTAGGAGATTTAAGTTCCTCTTCTTAGAGGAAGTCAGGGGATACTACAAACCTATGCTCTGATCAGCTTTTCTTTGGTAAAAAGAAAAGATTTCATGCATTATGGCTTGTGCTAGTGGTTCTTGCAGAATATACCTTCTTATTACGTTAAATATTTAAATAAATACGTAAATAAAAGGTGGGGGGTGGGAGGCAAGCATTCATTGGCTCTGTTTTTTTTTTTTTTCCTACCAAACCTCATGGATATCTCAGATTATTGCTTGATAGTTTATGTTCTCCTTTGGCATCATTAAGAACTTCCTTTGAATTTTTAGCTATAAGTAGCTGAGAACAATATGGTACTGTTCTGTTTTACAGTGTTGTGAATGAATAACAAGAGTGGCAAAAATGTCAGAAGAAACAGTTTCCAAAAATACTCCSAAAAGATCAGAGCTTCTAAAATATTACATTGTGTTAGTGTGTAGCTGCTGATCACCTTCACCTCTCTCTTGTGTGGCTCATTTTGTTTGTGTTTACAGTTTTCTTGATTATAGCTAGGTTTGTATGCTTCAGTATCAACATCTGGGGTTATCTCTGTTAGTGTTCCAGTTAGTTAGAGACAGTCCCTTGAAATGAAACCTCTGTGAAGCRAAGTAGAGCTTCCTCCATTTGGGTCTCTGACAGATACCTTGAAACCYATCAGTCCTAACAGTCTAGATTCTATTCAAAACAAACTGCAGCACTTTGATAGCAAATGCATGCATGCAACATTAGCTTTCCAGCACGATACAAGCAGTAATTAAGCTAATAATGAGTTAGGGTAATTACAAAGAGCTTTGCAGGGATCTATGCTATGACATCCTCACAAATTATGATGTAGCAGAGCCCTTGAGCATGTGCCTAACTAAAGTAAATTAATGGTGTCCTGAGTTTCATTGAAACTGTTTGCCAATTTACAATCATACATCTATTTAGAAGGATTCCTGGGTGAGGGCATAGCCTTTTGTATGTTGGAAATGCTATACAAATATTCATCTTAACACTCCTATATCTCCAATATTGGTTTTTAGGTGGTAGCAGTGATTAGTTGTTGGGTTAATTTTGGTCCAGTTCATGTGATTTCAATTATGGAGAAACTTTCCATGTCAGCTGAGTGCTAAACAGCTTGTGCAAAAGCTCTATCTATGAAACTCTACTACAACTTCATCTAAAAAGTGATCATAACTAAGTTAACATCCATCCCAAATTAAATTTATGGTAGAACTCACAAGTAACTTGTTGTTTTATTAGGTCAAAAATGAGAATAGTCATGGCAGGTTGTATTAGAGACCTAACTCTACATTTAAAGATGCTTAAGCAAATGTTTAAGATTCAAGCACCTTAAATGTACATGTGAAAAACAGCATGGGATTCTGATAGGCCTGTGTTTAGTAATAGTTTATGTCATGGATAACGCCATTGATGTTGATACAGATACTTAAGAAATAAGATGCTGCACAGTGGAGAAGTTGGGGAGAAAATACAGACCTTATGGAGATACATTCCTCTGTATTCAGCCAGATGGTGCGGCAAATACTGTTCTTTACAGCCTGACTCACAATACACTCATTTACAAAATTAGATGTGAACTAATGTTTTATACTGATTTGGCAGTGTTTTGTGAACACTTTGTGTGAGTTTTCAATGGTTATATAAATTCTAAGGCAAGGGAGAATTAGGCACTGTACTAACAAGTTATTAACAACCAAAAAACCCTCCATAGTGACATCTTGGGTTTTTTGGTCACAGAAAGTGACCAACCTTTACATGACTGTACCAAAGTGAAACCTAACTAGTGCTACATAGCTTTGTTGTAAGTGCTGCCAGGAGAAGAAAATCAAGATTTGGGAGGTGAGTGGAGGAAATGAGTCTCTTCTGAAAATACCTCTTCTGCGTGCAGCCAGCCCTGCTTTCCTCAAGGAGCTATTTATGCTCCTTTGCAAGCCCTGGTGCCAGAAAAGTACAGTCAAGAACACTGAATAAAATGTGCCAGGTGTTCAGCATCCCAAAAGAAGAATCTTAGATCTGTTTGACCAGCTTTACCCGGACCTTTCAAGTCACTGCTGTGCTGTACTGTAAAGCTGATAATGTCAGGGCTTAGGATGGACAGTATCTGTCCAGCAGTGAATCCTTAAAGGCCTTGAAACCAGATGATAAAGCCACTTACTTTCCTATATCCTCTTAGTTCTGATGGTGTCAGTGGGGCTTCCTGATGATACTCCAAGGGGAAGTAATTGTAAAGAGAGAAAACTAGAAACCAGGGATATTGCAGGTGTTGTTCCAAAACTTGGGTTCCCAATAATTTTCAGTCAGGAAGAAAAATAGTGCCCTCTATGACCTGACCTCAAATGATCTTTAATTAAGAGATAGTCATTCCTGGTTTAAGCGGAATAGAAAATTGTGGCAACAGCTTATATCAAAACCTATCAAAACTGACCCCGCTGACACTTAAGTAGTTTCAGATCCTATCAAATACAGAACGATTTATGAGTTTGCAAAGCAAATACCTTTAAACTAAAAGAAAACTTGACGTCTGTGAAGAAACAATTCTCTAATTTGGGAATTGCAGCACATCTTTACCTTGATATCAGACAGTAAGTGAAGGGTATTGCTCAGTTATGTCTAGTGCACATGATGCTGTTGCAGTCAAATCACATATGCATATCCTGTGCTTTCACTTTTGATTTACTAGTAGTCATTTGTACTTAAGTGAGTTACAAATGCAGAATAAATTCATTGATGTTGTAGATTGACTATATAATGTGAGTATCATCAAAAAGCRTAATATACTCCCATAGAGATTCAGAATTGTGTCTGCATAACTGTGTGCACAAGGCAGGTTGTGGGTGGACTTGGGAACTGCGTGGACTGCAAATGAGTGCTTTGCAGACCTATCAGCAGAGGAAGATTGGGGAAGATTATTTTAGACATTTTAAAAATGTGCTGAAGCAGGTCACGGATCTTGCTGCCTGAAATGCTGGGCTTGGCCTAATCCACAAAGTGATTTAAGCACTCATGCTGTTTTTTTAAGTGCCAGAAACATGAGTTAGGTGCCTAAACATTGTGCTCACCTAATCTTCACCATTAGGTGACTAGCCTAGAGAAAGGCAGGAGAGAAGTATGATTAAGGTAAATCCTAATTGCTCTTCTCTCAAGAGTCAGCCATTTCATTCAGCAATATCACAAAGGACCCCCCAAGATACTCTGTTTTGTGTAGAGACAAGCATTAGAGTTGAGGAAATACCTTAGTTCTTGGCCTCTGGTTGTACCTGTGGGTAAACTTCATCTGTGTCAAGATGAATGTGGTTCTGGGCATTTGCAGAAAGAAAATTTAAGCGTGAGAAGAAGAACACAGCTGAGAAGGAATTTTGGGAACTACAAGCTTGAATTGTGAGCCCATATATCTTTTATTATTATAATTATATAGGCCTTATAAGAGAAAAGAGTTCTTAAGATCACTTTAGGACTATTTAGAACGTAAAGTTCAATGTATGTGCACATAGCTGAGCAGATGCCTCTTAATTTGACAGAATTTGGGGAGGAGGGCTTGTGATTTATCACTAATTCTGTTACTGTTGTGCTGTTATAATTGCAAGTGGATGTGGTTTAACCAAGTGGTTAAGTGCAAGTGGTTTAACCAAGTCCTGGTTAAACTCTCAGATGGATTTTGCGCTGTTTATCTGAAATTATTGTTACTGGTGCTCATACATTTCATGTTTCAGTGCTGGGTTTCATTGGTACTAAGGCTGGAAAGTTAGATATCTTCTGCAGCCCAGACTGATTCTGTTATTTGCTTTTCAGGATTTTCTTTTCCATGGGGCTACTTTCGTCTTTTATTTTGGAGCCTTTCTACTGCAAGCAGCAACTACATCTCTGCATCATTTACCCCGTAACTTTAATTCCACTACACGAGAGACGATTCTAGGTGATCATGAGTATAACATAAGCATAGCAGCCTCGGTATGTATTTCATAAATGTGTATTAAGACATGCAAGTCTGTTGTAAACTCTAATCATCCAACTTAGGAAGTTAACAGCAAGCTGGAATGGAAAGGGAATTTGAGAGAGAAAGGATTTTCTGAGAGCAGTAATATTCTCATAGTGCTGTACATAACTATTGCAATAAACTTTTACTCCATGATAGTGTGATACTTAATTGCTATTTTTCACAGCAGTATTTTAATTACATGAACAATACAGCTTATTATTTTAGATAGAGATACTTTGTAAATGCAGAAAAAGATGATAACTGTCATCAAAGAATGATGCCTGAAATTCAAGCCTGTGCTCCTTGTGAAGCTCCATATATGCTCCCACTGGCCTCAGACATAGAAATTAGCTGCAGGAGGGCCTGCTGTCCCTTATGGCGAGGACTGGAGTGGTTTTGCAGGCAGCCTCAACTCAGCTGGCCTTTTTAGCACTATGACTGCAGCATCATCACTGAACCACTGCATCTGAGGAAGCGAGTGTGTGTGTRCAGAGCTGCACCAGAAAAATCTACCAGGTTTTACCTCTATCCATGTCTGGACTCCTGAAGGGCAGTTAGAGGTGTGCCAATAGGCTGAACTCAGAGCACTGGAACTACTACTAGTCTTGTTTGTTTGTTTATTTATTTATTTAATCTCCCAGAGGGTCTTTGTTACCTTGAAGCACTGGATATATTATTAAGCTTCTAAAACCCATTCTGTTGTCCTCAAAAATAAACCATGCATCTTTGCAAGGTAAACAGCTTCCCCGAAATCTAGTCCCTCCCTTCAACTTGCTTTGGCATAAAAATAAATGAACCCAAGGTGACGTTCACACTTGTTCTGCAAAAGTAAAATAAAAAGGAAAGGTCATTTCCATAGGCTGGGCTCTGAAGGAGTGAGTTGGGCATGTTGGTCTCCAAGTCCAGAATGCCTCACAGAGACCTAGTTGCCAGGATCACTCTCTCACACCTGCTCCCTCTCTGGGTATGTGGCACAAGGACAGAAGTCATATTTCACAGCCCTGCCCAGACCAATTGAGGACTTTATACTAAGCAAGCAAATTCTAGCACAGCTGTAGCTCTACATGCCCAGGGTATTCAGAGCCCACTGCACATACAGTAAAATCGTTTTCTCCAGTCTTTTCAGTCTTTCTGTCTGGTAACAGAACACTGGAGTGTCCAAGAAGCCCTTTAATCATTCCTTGATATTTTCACTAGGGAGAATGCAAGTCCTTGAGATCTTCAAATTCCTGTCAAGATMGGGAAAGAGAAGGCTTTCTTGTAACTAATCCTAGTTATTTGTAATTTAAAAGAAGCTAGGAAATGGCAAATCAGATACTGTAATCTTTAGTGCCTTCACTTTTTTTTCCTAGAGTACCTAACTAAAATATCAGAATGTACAAAAAATAATGTAGTCACTTAAGGCAGTTAGTTTAATATCACTAACATAATCTTCTGCTGTACATGGAGAAAATACMAGGTAAAGCCCTGTTCAATTTTGTCTTACAAAACGTGTGTAATGAAAGTGTTTGTATATTTTCTTTTTATATGACTGATGGATCTGAGACATAACCTCTACTCCAAACTTGCATTTGACGTCAAAGTCTGTGTGCATAACCAGGGATGTTATCCACTGCTTGAATCCGTATGGGAGASTATTCATCATTCCTGAGCGACTTCTTTTTCAACGGTTTAGTGTCTCAATTCTTCCTTCTGATTTACACTATGTATTCAAATTTGCTCTGGCACGACCTTCACTTCAAATCTGTAAATTYTCCAGGCAGCAGAAACTCTCTGGCATTTCCCAGAAAACTGTTCTAACGGCTGGTCAAGGAGGCCAGATTTGAATCTCTTTCCTTGTTTCGGCAGGTGAATAGTTGTCTGTTTGCTATAGGTAAACATTCACCTAGAGACAAATCTGAGATTAGTATTTGAGCAAAGCGAAAGTAGAATGAGTTTGCGCAGCCTGGGCAAAAAGAGGCTGAAATATAGATGTAAATGACCAGTTTGTGCCATGACCTGTGCGTGTTCAGATGTTCTGGTTCATATGTTACTCTAAAATGCCGTCTGAAGCTAGCAACTAACTTAAAAGTAGTAACAGGGGTTGCAAGAGAAGTTCGTGAGAAGACTTCAGAGAATCCACACCTTTACGTTAAGAGCATTTTGGGTGGGTGAGGCAGCTTTTGAGTCTGTGTTATGGTGCTCATTTAGTATATTAGTGTGCAGCAATATAATGTGTGGTTCACGCTGTTTTTTTTCTACTCCTTTTTTAGATTTTTGCCTTTGCAACAGCTGTTTGTTACGGCTGCAGCACAGCACTGGCACTAAGAAGATGGAAGCTATAGCAGTTGAAGAGAAGTCAATGCTCAAGTGTTCCACTTCAGATCAAATTAAATGCCACTTGTCTATTTTACTGTAATGTAATTCCAAATTCCAAAAGCCTTTTTTTTTTTTTTTTTCCTTAGAGTCTGTTTGGAAAAGTGTTGAAAATACGAATAACCCCTTATCACAATTTCCTTAACTGAAAACAGGTTTCCCTCTCTTCCTATTCTAGTTTTACTATAAACTAGTTAGAAGAATTGCTCTCTTCATTGTATGGTATTACACAATTCACTGATAAATAGATGTATCAGTAGGAGATAACTGAATTTTGGTGCTAAAACAGAAGAGGAATAAAGTGGAAATGAAATGGATGTTACTAGTGTAGGCAGCTAAAATGCTTCCCCTTGTTAAATCCCGTGACTGGGCCTTAGGTGTTGAGCAGCCTTATGATGATTTCCATGGAGCTACAGACTTGAGGCTCCCTATAGAGTATTTGGACTTCTGTATCTGCTCCTTRCATGATCAGAGCCCAAGCTGACTTTTACTGTATCACTCTAGTATATATTATTTTAAAGATTGATATAATGAGGGAAAAAAAATGAAATGCCATCCAGTGCGATCTTTTGATGTTCTTTTACAACCATGTTCAGCTATGGTGATCTCATCCTTCAAGCTTACTGTGTTTTTTCAGTAGGTGGAAACTGTCTAGGACTGTCAGTCAGTAGTTCATTAGTTTCATGGATTTAACTTTATCAAATCTATTTATACGGCAGAACAAAAACAGTGCATTTGTGTTGTGTGTATATATACGTGGTATATTTTTGTTTAACAGGAATATTTGCACTGTTTCCCTTTGGAGTATGGTTTTGTTTTTGCTACTTCAAGTGCTGCATTTGTTACTTATTATGTGAGTCAATATCATTTGAATGAAATATTACCAAATGGTGAATAATGTCTGACCTCAATTCTTGTGGTGTGGAATTCGTTGCAATCCTAAATCTGCAGTGTTGTAAAGGTGTTTTTATTTGGGCTTTTCYTTATGTGTCTCTGCAACATCTTGCTGAAAGCAAGGGAATGCAAAGTGGTCCACCCTCTGTGGAGTTGCTTTTGGCAGCAATAAAGTTTAATTGAGCCTGCTTTGAATATCCCAGATATATAATGATACAGAATATTAGAAATGCAAAGTTAAGGTAACAAAGCTAACACATAGTATTGCACTCTGCTCCTCAGCACACGGCCTGTTAAGCAGGCAACAAAACTCTTCTTTAAAAAAAGATAGCAAATAATTGTAGCTGTTGTGAAAAGTGCCAAATTTTAGCAATCCAATTAGCAAACCAAATTGCTAATCTTGGAGAGAAAAAAAGACTCCCTGTMATTTGCAGAACAACTTCCCTGCCACATCCTGCCAGCGCTCATGAAAATTCCTGACACCAGTGGTGTGGCTGGGTAAGGAAGGACAGGACTTTCCTCATTCCCTGGCCTACTCATTCACAGTGAGCAAATAAGGGCGTCTGCTGTGAAGGCTGCTTTGTCAGATTTGTCACAGMTTTGTCATCTGGAAGCATCCTTGAGAGCCAGCCACCCTCAGGAGTGGTTGCCCCTCAGTCCTGGCTGCCCCAGGACAGGTTCCCACCAGGTTCACAGCAACAAGCACCAGCCCGTCTGGCTGCGGGGACCACTCGTTCCTCCTGAATTATTGCAGTGAGACATTTTTATGTCTCTTGTTTTCTGCGATTTTTTATCTTCCAAGGATTTTGTACTCTGCCTGAATATTTTTCTAATTCTCCACTTGCATTGGAAGTTTCTGTTGTGAATGTTTTATCTAGAGACATGTACTTCAAAAATACTTCATGTTGTATAAAATACTTCTACAGTGGAGTATATGGATGAATGTATAATAATGAAGACCTGTGCTGAACAGCATTAAAGTTGCATAATGTTGTGTATATGTATGGCAGCTCTCTGGCTATTCATTCCAAAGTTGAAAAATACGATGAAGAGGAAAAAATAAAGAAACACCTTGCAGCTTTGACTGAACTGATGCTGAATATATTAAGGCTAAAGCTTTTGAGAAGGCACATTTATGGTAAGGTTAATTCTGAACGTTGGCTTTGCTGCATGACGTGGCATGGGGGGCAGTGAGGAAGTGGAGCCTGGGGCCAGCCCCAGCTGCAAGGGAGGCTGCTCTTGGGGACATTCACTGCGCCCTGCACACTCAGATGGGGCCTGTTCGAGGCTCCTGGGCTTGTAGCTGCTTGTACAGGAAACAGAGCAATGAGTGTAGCATGAAAACCTTATTTGCACAGCAAGGAGAAGCTAAACTCTTAAAAACTCTTAATCTCTGAAAGTATCGAAGACCAAAAAAAGTGAGAAGCAGAAACTGAAATAATGAAAAAAATAGTTTTCATAGCRAAAAAGGAGTGAAAGGAAGTTTTTTCTGTTAACTTTGAAGACATTTTGCTGGATTTTGAAGATCTAATGAGGACATAGAACGAGGAAGCTGCCACATTCTTAATGAAAATAGAAAAGCAAGTTAAGTTTGTATTACTTTTTTAGCTTCCTGAATAGTGTATCTGTGACTCAAAAGGTCACACTGTACATTGTCCTAGAATGTCTGTATGCAAATATTTAGAGGGGGTTAGCATTTAATCCTCATGATACTCCTTACGGGTGATAACACAAAAGCCAGGTTTGATAAAAGTTACTCTTCCATCTCGCAAATGGCATGTACAACAATTCCCAAATATGTCTCTGATTATCTTGGGGAATACRAGCTTAGACCTCTCCAAAGAACAGAAGTAACAGGGGAGGAGATAGGGAGATAGATTTGGCTGAATTAATTTAAGGTGCAAGTAATGAAACCATGGATGCCAAAAGAGAGTTTTCATCACACATTTCTATTTGATGCAAAGTCACAGTGCCAGAATATCTCTGATGCCATGCAAATACCCGCTCTTTTAGAATCAGAAAATACTCTATTATTTTAAATGCAAATAATTAGTAACTGCTGGTATGTATTTATCCTGAGGAGACTTTTTTTTTAAGTGTGCAGGAAGCAGAAAAAAAGATGTTGGTTATTGCTAAAGAGAAACAAAATGAAACGTTTTAGAACATTAAACCTTTGTTAGAACGTGTTCAGAAAAGGCACAAAAAATGCTTCATGGAATTCCTGATTACTACCATATTGCTCCATGTCTAGAAATAGTCCAAGGTGACACAGCTACTTTCCTCACTCCTATGTGTGTTACTTAGAGCTTTCCTGAAGTCAGTGAATGCCTCTTTGAAATCCAGCTATAAAGTGCAGCTGCAAAAGGTGAGTGAGGAAGAACCACTGGTCATACAAAGCTGCCACCTTCATAGAAAGTTATAGAAAAATCACTGAAAAATCACTGGACCGGTGTCTTTCTTTTACTTCCAAAAGGACATAACTCCCAATGTACTTCCTCTGATCTTTTTTTTTTTCTTCTTCTTCTTTTTAAATTTCTTCTTCTAATTTCTTCTTTTCAAATGTTGAGGTTCATGATTTTTSTCTCTGGATTTCAAAAATTAGTATTTAGGTGAGCTTAAAACTCAGTTATAACCCATTCACTTCAAAGTGAGTTTGTGCTATTGGTTTCTGATCTGTATTTTGTGCAGCTTGGCATGACATTGGCCTTTGATGAGACACAGAGGAAGAAAATCAGCAGAAGAAAGAAATCTGATTAATTTAGAAAAAATTCTTTAGAAAGAAATTTACTGATTAAAGTCAGTAAATAGCAATGGAAAGCATACATTAGTATAATATATATACTACAGTATATATGTGTTATATGGTATATATAGTACTATATATAAGAAGAAAGACCGTGCGAGGTGTATGTGTCCTTTCCTATTTCTGTCTCTGGCATAGTGATGTTAGTCTGGCAATTAGCTACACGGGGTTAAGAGGTAGAACACCTGTTTGTGCAGGATTATGAGTCAAAGGGAGACTTGACGTGCCGAGCTAGTGCTCTTAGATCAAACACGGGAGGTTCTGGGTGTTCTGACCTGAAGTTTTTGATCAGCCCATTGTAAGCAGGCTCTGTGCAGTTCCTATCTGAGGCACTGATCTGCCTTCCACCTCTAAGAGAGGAGGGAGGTCCTCAGGAACCTCAGGTTTTCACTGCTTCCTCCTGTACACCATGTCCTAGTYCTGCATCAACTCTACTGCGACGCAGCACCTTCTGCTTAGAAACTTGGGCTAAATTCGGGCAAAAAACTCATTGAGCCACCTTCCAAGGAAGCCCAATGATAAAATCAGATTACAGCAAGAGATGTTTTTAACACTTTGCTTGCTTTGGGATTCCTGCAAGTGTCCACACAGATTCTGGAGACTCTGGACAGACAGTCGACAGCATTTTTGCACATATATTCAACACAGCCAGGGTCAGTATCTAGCTCCAGAGATGGWCTCGTCCAAAGATGATGCCCTGTGAATCCAGACTTATTTCAACAGTGCTAGTAATCTTAAAAGAAACATTGGAGATTCTAAYCTCATCCAAACAGCTTTTCCTGGTCATCTCAAGAAAGTATGGCCGTTARTTGTGGAGACAGTAGCACCAAACAATAAATCACCGGATCAAGACAAGCCCAGCTGGGTTCCTTGCAAAGCAAAGGATCCTACCGCACTCCTCTCGAGGACCACACACTGCCCTCTTTTCCTGCATGAAGATGCTGTGACTGTATAGCAATATGATTACGAGCTTGTAACAAATGTTTAGGTTTTAATACTACTGTGTTACAGTATTATTTAAGTTCAGTAAGCTTTATGAGTCAGACTAATGAGGCAAAAAGTGCTTTGTTTTTAAAAACCCTTTGCTATTTTTTAACTTTGTCAGTAGAAGCGCTGTGGGCTCTACAGTTACTTTTCAAGTGGAAAACATGATGTAGCATAATGTAATTAATAATGTAATTAATGGAACCGTAGATCTTCCTGATTATTTCTAAAATACAGGAGCTGGCAATATTTCCAGCCTCCTGGTCCGGGCGACCCCAACTAGGTCACAGCTTGATGCCATGGTGAAATCTGAATAGGTGTCTCCTCTCTTCCTCCTCCCTGCCACTTTCTAGGCTTTGTGAAGGAAGCCAGGCATGCAGAAAGGCAGGGAGC